AGCCTGTGCTATTACCAGGTCCAGGACGACGGCGGCAATTACACTGAACGTGATCGAGCTGCTATACTATTTTTCAGTGCTACATCTCTACTCTGGTAGCAAGCCGAGTGCGAAGAAGCAGGCATTATCTGTCAACTCAGAAAGGCAGTTGCTGCCTCGACTCCACGTCAACAGCTAAGGTCATTAGCGGCTAATACTTTGTGGGATTAAAATATAAAAATATCGAAAATGTATAAAAATCTATCGATAAATAATGTCTTATAAAAAAGAAAAAAATAATATATTAAAGCATAAATATTATGCCTTAAGAGCATATAAATATTGCATGGATAATATGCATAATTAAATTTTGTTAGAAATATTGGTCTCCTTTAATAAACTAACGACCTGTGTCACAACTTCTACTTGTCAGTTGGGATGGACGTTGGTCACCCAACTGTCAAGGTCATCTCTAATCTTTCACAGTTTGTTTCTAGAAGTAGGCCTCTATTGCTCCCTACATTTATCCCGAAGGCAACTTCTGATGCTGGGTTTCAAGTCGGAATGTGGAAGAGGAAAACGAGCGGGACTGAGCTGCACCTGCCTCGGCCCTCTGATCAGCTCTCTCATTCCCATGGACACTAACATTCGCTGATATCCTACATAGAGTTATCTTCGCTGCAAGCCAATCCTGAACTTGCGCCCTTGATTGCCTGCAAAGCACTACAAGAGTCGCAATATATGAGAACAGAATGGTTCCTAAGTCATTTTGACTGCTGAAAGGATGGCATGTAACTTTGCTTGAAGATCGATTCTGCCGAAGAAAGACTGCCAACTGCTGTAAAGCTCACACTATTTTCAGATTTCGAACCATCTGTATAAATTGCATCTTACCCTTTGTATTTAGAAGTATGTTGAGGAAATCTCTCTCTGATTTCCGAATCTCTTCCCCTTTCCTATTCTGACTAAATACAGCTCAACTAGATTGGTACAATGGGGGAGCTGAGGATTTCCAATAGCTAGAACCTTGTAGAGATTCAAATTGAGATTGAGTACTTGGTAGAACTGCAGAAGTGTGCGGCCTGCACCCCAAGACAAGTGAGAAACAAATTGCAAAATGCAAAGCTCTTTTGTATCCCTCTCCTTTAACTGTTTGATAAGAGGCACCCACATTAGCCTGGAGTCAAAAATTGGACCCAAGTACCACTGTGCCCACCAAGTGCCCACTGCACAATTTGATTTACTGAAGTCTTCTTCTCATCTGATTGGTACAGTGTGAAGTCATCCACATACAGATTAAATGAGACAGCACTTGGAATGACCTATACGATGTTATTAATAGTAATTGCAAACGGGGCTTTGTATGAAAATGGGTAATGCCCTTCTTAAATCACTGTCATACAGTCGGCAATGCTTCCAAGTAGTAATGTAAGCCTTGATCTTGCTGCGCAAAGGAATTCTGTATTCTCCATCTTCATAGGGACATCTTTAGTCGATCTCAGTTTACTAAGCCCATATTGATATGGGGTCCGTAAAATTTCCCTTTCTAGCATCCATGTCAAACTGAAGTTTACCATTTTCTCCATCAACTTACAGATGCAGCTGATAAAAGAGACTGGTCTGTAATTCCCTAGTATGGAAGCATCCTTGCCAGTAGGAACTTTTGGGAGCTTTCCAATAAATGAGATGTCATTTGGTATGGAATAGGGTTACTTCCTGGAACAGTCTTACAGCAAAGCTTATTGAAGAACACTGGGTGTTGTTCCTGATGAGCCCAAAGGGTGGAGAATCGGGCAGTGTAAAATGCTCCAGAAGTCTCAACAATGGACTTACCTCATTTGCAACATCTTTTGTCTGTGAGGAATATGCCACCTATCTGCAGAGCAGGTGTTGATACTGATGTGCTCTTTCCAGTCATCTTGCACACCTAGTCCTATACTTATGCAAAGGGGTCCCTGAGTTAGTCAAGATGACATACTTCTCCATGATCTCCAACTAGCTTCCTTTAACACTTGTCTGGCCTTGGCTACCCATTTACCAAGGCCTTGAGCTGGACATTTTGTCATCCATTCCACCTGCTAGGTGTGGAGATCTCACTAAACCTTGCTTTTGCAATCTCTGGAGCGATAAACCAATCACTTTTGCCTCATCAACAACGGCAAGGAATGTCCTCAAATCGAGCTCTCAAGAAACCAGTCAGTGAGAATGTTTATATAATTACTATTTTTTGCTAAATTACAGCTACTTCACAGTAGTTGTAATGAGGAGGCGGGTTGAGCAGCATACAATGCAATTCCTCCAGGAGTAATGAGCATATATATGCCTCCCAGCATCAGTCAGTTTAAGGGCGCTATCAAACACCAAATACATGTCTCAGCCAGAAACCAGCATTTACTAAGAGTTTATAAAAAAATATATATATTATGGTATGAGGAAATCACCGAACATACAAGAGGTGTTCAATGAGTTCTCAACCTATATAGTAAAAAAAGAGCAAATTTTCACTTAGTAATTTTAGTTTTCAGTGGTGGGCTGAATCCCTACAAAATCTCCATGACCTTCTGGGTCTCCTCATCATTAGTTAAGGTGATATTCCATGCCTGCTTCTTCAAGTGTGGGAAAAGGTCAGAGGATGCCAGATCGGGGGATTTAAGCTGATGGGGCAACAATTCGAAGACGCAGGACACCACTCTGCTTACGGTCACCATGTTCTTGTGTGTTAGCACGGTCACTTTCCCTCGGTATTTCTCAAACAGGGCCTCCCAAAGTTTCAATAGTGGATTAGCATAGTATGGTCTATTATTGGCATAAACGTAATCCAAGAAGTTCATTAATAGGATTCCTTCAGGGTTCCAGAACACTGTCACCATGACACCTGAATGACTTCGTGACAATGAATATTTGTGGCATTGGAGATAAGGGATGCTTCCATTGGTTAGATTAGAGTTTGGTTTTCGAATCGAAGTAAGGACCCCATGTTTCATCCTGGATTACGATTCGGGCCATGAATTCCTCCAGATCAGCTTTCATGAGTGTCAACATCTCCATAAAGGTCATTATCCAATTCTGCTTCGGTTATCAGCATTTTTGAGTCCCATTGGGAAAACACCTTGGAATGGATGTGATTGTGCAAGATGTCAACAATGGATTCATGGCCCCCAGTTAAGAGGCAATACATCGCACCTAGATTCGGCGATTATCAATAACCGCTTTCCGCCATAGCCAGTTTCCTTGGTGACTGCAGCTGATGGATAACCACTAGGGGGGTGGGGGGTCATCCTCACAAGCGCCTCGGTCCTGTTAGAAAAGAGCAGCCGTATTTGACAGTGGAATAGGATAAGGCGAGGGCATTACTTGTTGGGCCATTATCATTTAGGCCGAGAACGCCCCTCGTACACCTCCCCAGATACCAAACATACTCTCAAATCCCAAGCTGTCTTCATACATAGACTAGGTTATAGACTAGGTTATAGATGCTTTAGGAAAATAGCAGAGAGAACACCCAGAGCTTGTAATCTCTGTGAAGAGAGCACCGCCTACCCTCTCTTTCCCTACCAGTCCATGGCATAAGACTCAAACCTTGCCAGTATTAAAATCGAAAATATAGATTATCCCAGCAAGTAGCGAAGGAAATATTATACACAGGGCCAGGCACTTATGTATATATGCGAACATCCTCCTTCTAGATAAGCAGTCACAAGACAAAACTCCTTAATGCCTCCATAACGTATATCATCTAACCATAATTTAGACATTTAGTCATAACTACTATAAATCACCGCCAAGGTGGCATTTTTGCAAAACCCGATCCAGAAAAAAATAAATATTTACTCCAATAAAATATGTTCGCATATAAATTATCTTCGTACGCAAACGAGTGGAAGAACTCAGAAAGTCAGAGCGTTAGTTAACATTTGTTACATAGGCCAGTGAACCTTTTGAATCCGCCGATGGCCTGAGTGCAGCAGCCAGGAAAGGAAACGTGCTCTGTGCGGGCTCTCGCGTCGCCGGCCTATTTTCCTCGTTGCAGGATGGGACGAAACCCACGTTCATCGCGGAGCTCCTCTCATTCCAGCAGGATTCCTCTACCATTTGGTTGTTTATCTTCGTATTATTTCTTCTGATGATGAATGTTTTCATGAACATTCTCTCTTAGTTTTATCGCTATTTATAACGTTGGTCATATTGTTATTATTACCTTTACTAATATAATCGCCATCGTCATTAATATTACCGTATCATTATTGTTACTGTTATTGTTATTATCACCTTTATTTTTACTACCATTATTGTTATCCTCCTCCTCCTGATCATCATCATCAGCATTGCTTTTATTCATTACCATAATTACATAATAGTATTGTCATTAGTCTCAATCGCGTTCTCATTATTAGTGTTTTTATTATTATCATTATTGTTATTATAATTATTACTATTATCAGTATTATATTTTAGTATTATCATCATCATCATTATTATTATTATTACTATTATTATCATTATTATATTTCTTATTGTCATTATCACCATATATATATATATATATATATATATATATATATATATATATATATATATACATATATATATATATATATATATATATATATATATATATATATATATATATATATATATATATATATATATATATGCATATATATATGCAAAAAAAAAAAAAAAAAAAAAAAAAAAAAAAAAAAATATATATATATATATATATATATATATATATATATATACATATATATATATATATATATATATATATATATATATATATATATATATATATATATATATATATATATATATATACATATATATATATATATATATATATATATATATATATATATATATATATATATATATATATATATGTGCATATATATATATATATTATATATATATATATATATATATATATATATATATATATATATATATATATATGTATATATGTATATATATATATATATATATATATATATATATATATACACACACACACACACACA